ACATTACAATGTTAAATTATATACTGGCTGCGCAAGGTGGCTCATGCCTGTAATCCTAGTAGTCTAGGAGGCTGAGGCAGGAGGACTGCTTGAGCTCAGGAGTTTGAGTTCACCCAAGCAAGAGTGAGAGAATCTCCAACTCTATAGAAAAATTAGTCAAGTGTTGTGGGTCCATGCCTATTGTCCCAGCTACTCAGGAGGCTGAGGCAGGAGGACTATTTGAGCCCAAGAGTTTGAGGTTGCAATGAGCTATGATCACACCACTGCACTCTACCCAGAACAACAGAGCAAGTCTCAAGGGAGGAAAAAAAAAGAAATGAAAACTCATCTATTTACCTACATAATAATCATTTTTAGTCCTCTTCATTAGATTAGTATTTGCCAGCTGACAGGATTTAATAACAGTATTTCCTGAATGACTGAAAATGAGAGGATGCTGGTGATTCATTCTCTCAGCTTTTGTGTCTGAAAATGTTTATATCACCCTGGGCACAGATAGAATTAGTAGTTGACAGGTGTTTTTTTTTTTTTTTTTCTTAAAGATACTATCTCCCACTGTCTATTCACTGCATTGTTTCAAACTTAAAATCTGCTATACTTCTTATTTTTCTTCCTATGTGTCTTTCTCTCCTAATGACTTTTAGATTTTTCTATTACTGATTTTGAGCTTTTGATAATGATCTGCCTTGGTGTGATTTTCTACATTTTTTATACTCTGGCTTTTATATATTGTATTTTTTTTTTTTTTTTAGACAGAGCCTCAAGCTGTTGCCCTGGGTAGAGTGCTATAGCATCACAGCTCACAGCAACCTCCAAATCCTGGGCTCAGGTGATTCCCCAGCCTCTGCCTCCCAAGTAGCTGGGACTACTGGTGCCCACCACAAAGCCCGGCTATTTTTTTTTTTTTTGGTTGCAGCCGTCATTGTTGTTTGGTGGGCCCAAGCTGGATTCAAACCCGCCAACTTAGGTGTATGTGGCTAGCTCCTTAGCTGCTTGAGCCACAGATGCCACGCCTG